TTGATGGAGAACATTTGGATTCGGTATAATTTGAAATTAAGCCACCTAATAGATGTGTCCACAGGTGCTCCGAATGTCTAAATTCCCATAACTGTTGGTGAGATACAGCCAAAAAATCTACTCTAATCAGTGACTCAGCTAATCCTAAAATTGACAAGTCAACTGGCTGATCAACCTTTATGCCATGCTTTCAGCTACATCACTTTCACCTGCAAACTTAACCCCCCCTAGAATACAGCCCTTGTACTGGCTCTAGAAAGAAACTCCAGCTCCTCACCACCCACCTTCCTTCCGCCTACAGCTGGGGCATTATTAAGATTCTACTCAGTGCACCACACAGGATGGCTGCTCCTAAGGACAGCTAAGTATCTTGACAACTTATGTTCTGTATCATCATGCCTCCAACAACTGTACAGGCTCATGGAATCCTAACTCTCCTTAGTCCATCCGTTCCACTTTAAGTATGCAAAAATTTTTAAGAAAAAAAACAAACTGTAGGATGAACTTTAGTCCTCATATTGCCATAGGAATCAGTCTTTATCTAAAGTGTAGTAAGCATTACATCTTTGCCTGAATTTCAAGCTATTTCTACACTATATGGCTATAGCATTAAAAATTAGCTCAGAGGCCTTTCATGCCACCAGACCTTACAGATTAACTAAGTAGTGGTACTGCTCACTGATGGACTGACTAAACCAGTTAACTGCTTTCAAGTAACTCCTCCATCTATCCTGAAAAACTGGTTGTACAACCAATTTATCACTGCTGGTACTCAGCACTCTGCCTGTAAAAACACAGGAAGACTAGTGCTGGGGAGGGGTGGGAAGGACATCATTCTCTGCAAAAGAAAAGTGTCAGCTGTCAGGCCCTCCCAGAGAGAAAACACCAGGGATCCCTGGGGTTCCTCTAACTAAGAACCTCGGGAGTGGGCCTACAACTACTGTGTCTCCAGAGGCAGGCTAGGAAGGAGAAGATGCCCTCAGGCAACTGCTCTGACAATAGGGCCTGCAATACTAGAGGGCTCCTGGCTGCCTTCAAACACGCACAGAAGGCAAGACCAGCATTTTTTGTGACACCAGGACTTAAAAAAACCAGATGGCATGCTGAAAAAAAACCTTCAAAGATTCTCCATTTGTGCTACTCTTATTAATCTCATAGAAGTCATCCACATCTCTAAGTTATTTCTCTATACTACACAGCTATAAGAAATACACAGGTAAAAAAAAAAATCCTGATTCCAAAATACTGTCAGTCTGCAGTCAACGTGATAGCTTGTCTGTACCCCTGCAGACAGGGATATATATCCGACAAACCCACGTGGGATTTAATAAAAGACAGCAAATGTTTCTGCTAGGTCTGAGTTTATGTGACTTCTGGCCCAGCATTTTGCCACGTGGAAACTTCCTCAGAAACTACATTATTATTTCAGTATATCAGGACGTATTTTCTCCATGTCTTCACAATGGAAGTAAATATAGCACTGCATGTTACTTACATATAAATATAAAAATGTCAAACAAAATTGGCATTCTGTCAAACTGTTTGCATTTTATGCTGTCTTTTAAACCCTCAAAAATGTTGTCACTTCACCCAAAACCAAAAAGAGTCAAACTCTGAATGTAATGTCATAGCAGGACTAAAAAGCTGGAAACATTACATGGTATTTCAGGACTAATATTCTTCACTTTCCTCTTTCAAAGCAACATGGAAATACGAGTGGGAACTAAATTGACTATGACTCTTTACACAAAGGCACACTCCTGGTCATCACACAAAATACTAAGCAGAAGCTTAGATGATAAGGCAAGCATTAAAACTTCTCTGTGCTCACATTCAGTAGATCATGTAATAGACATATTTTGCAGTGTGTAAACTATTTCTGAAGGCACAGTGCTTATTTCAGTCTCATCTATCATACTATATTACTAACGATACCCAGTTGTTGCTGTAGCTTGAGAACAGTAACACTTCTGACACCAGGATTCACTGTGGAAATCCTATATACAAGTATACTTCATGCCTGTCTTGGCTAAGAACTATCTTAAGGAGATACAGCTACAAGTTTGCACTGTTTCACTTCATCATATCTCACTTTATCTAAATCAGTTTGTTGTTGCAGCTCCTCTGCAACAGACCTAGGAGTCTGGAAATTAAAGAGCTATTTCTACACATGAAATAATCTTTCTCAACTAACACAGGCTACACTTGCACATCCATTTCCCATCTGAAACTTAATCTGAATATAAACCTTACACTTTTTACCTTCACCTTTACTTCTGTTTGAGTGAAGCCTTAAAACTGGGTAGATTTGGACAAGCAAGGATATATATGTAGGGCATTATTCTGATAGCTCAATATTAAATGTGATATGAGAGCACTGGTCAATACTATTTTTAATGGACTTTACCTTTCCACTTATCTTCCTTCCACTTTTGTTTACACATTGTTAGTATACTTCCATTTTACCTTCAGAATACCAGACACACTAATTTCTATCAAGCTTGCTTCTGTTTGCAGAGCTCCCACACTAGGGTAAATAATGAAATCCTTCTCACCAAATAAATATATTAATTTCATTAAAATGTTAATTTAAACCTTAATCTGAATATAAGTTAAAATTCCATGCATTCCCTTAATGCCATATAGACTGTAAATGTTATACATTACCTCCATGTCTGAGAGAGGCAGGTTCGTTCTGGATGGCTGCTTGGTCCTCGGTGCCTTTGGTGGCCTCTTGACTGGCTGGTTATTGTGTTTTGGAATAATTTTACCAGCTGATACAACTGCGTAAAATCTTGATGACGTGTTCCTGAGCTTTTTGGTATGTTCCGTATTGAGCCTGAAGTTTTGTGTCATCATCACACCCAAGCATCTCCAGGAGGGAAAAAACCCCTCCCCACCCTGATAATAAATACTTCTTCCTAAAGTGGATACATATCCTTGGAGCAATTGCCAATTCTTGACTTGCACACATTGACTTGTCAACCAAGGGAATGCAGTTTTCAGAGCATAAAAATTCCAAGACTTTGCTGTTCTCTGAGCTGTTCTGTCAACTTCATTATCCAGCTTTAATAGCAGACATCCAGTTTTATTAAAGTTTTGGCATCGACATATTGCTGTTAAAGCATGGAAAGATCTAGCCTGGAGGCGCAGAAGTTTCAGTCTCATTTCTTCCCTCTGAACTGTACGTAAAACAAAGAAACAAAATCATCCATCAACATTTTGGAAAGGAAGAATATTATTTCTCTCTTATCTAAAAGGTGACCCATACTACTTTTGCATGTGTTAGGATGCCTAAGTACATGACACTGGTGGGAATAAACAGCTTTTTTCGATCCTATGGAAATAGCCTAAGATCAAAACACACTATTAAGCTGTGTGCTTGCAACATGTGGTAAAAAAGTAGAACTGGTTGCTATGTCAATATGAAAGCAGGCATCTGTTCCTTCTGCTGCTCATTCTGTGCAGCAGCCTACACTCTCAGTAACTCCACCGCTCACCAAGCAAGCAAACACAAACCTTAAAGGGGACATCAGACTCTGTAATCATTGCGTTATACATAAAAAACCAACAATTTAGATTACTACGTGGCTGTATGGGAATGGCACCTACAGAATACACACACTGCTCAGCATCAGCTCAGACTCCTGTGCCAAAAACAGCTCAGCACAGATCCAGCCCCTGTCACGTGTCCTGACTGCAGTGAGGACAGAGCCGAGTTACAGCCTTGTTCCTGCCAGTACATCCTAATGCAACAGTGACCACCAAGCCTGCCTGCAGACCCACCAGTGCAGGTGGAAACACAACAGTGTCCTTATTCTGGTTATTTCAGACCAGCAAGCTCACTGTATCAACCCTATGTCATGTGAGCTAATCAAATAAACTTTAAAAATATTCACAGGCAGTAGGTTGAATACCTCAGTGGGTGTGTTTCATCTGCTGAAAAATCCCACGTCAAGTCCCTTCCCACATCTGATTTTCCTAATTTCCCTTATGACATAAAATCCATCTTCAGTAAATTATTAACAAAAAGTCATTAAGCTGTATAGCTCAAACCCCCTGCCTGTCAGAATATTTTTCAAAAAATAAAGGAGTATCTCAAATACCACAAATATGCTTAACATAATATTTCAAATAAGTATTTTCTTGTGAGAAAAATCATGGTGTGTGCCATGGAACAAGCCCTCTGTCCTGACAAGGATACCTGGATGTTAGCACAATACACACGCAAAAAACCTCATCAAACCACACTCTGACATAACTTAATGGAAGGGGAATACACTAATTCTGGTGAAAGAGGTATACAATTAAAAATAACTAACTAAATAAAAAGGATGTAGAACACATCTAGGCTGCCACAGAATAAGTAACTGCTCTTGGGCATAACTTCTTATCTTTATATGCTCTTCACTTATACATTTCTGCCCAATTTAAAGCTTGTTATTGCCATACTTACTGGAATAAACCCAGTGTTATTTTAACTTTAAACTTTTTCTGTATTTATAAAACAACCCAGAAGACTCTGCCCAGAACAAGGCATGTTTACCTTTTGAAAGGCTTATTACCTCTGGATAATCAAAAGAGCTGAAAAAACCCTCAGTGACTGCAGCCCAAACCAGTGGAGAGCCAAGGCTAGGGGAGAAGTCTCCAGCACTGTGGGGTAACTGGCAGAAAAAGACTCACAAATGCCAAGTAAATCCTCACTTTCCTAGGCAAAAAACCTCATCCCGAATCAGTGATGCCAAGGATCATTTTTCAAGTGTACAGGCTCAGAGTAGGTTACAAGGAAAGAGAGATCATATGGGCTGAATTCCATCGAGGGGGCTGAGCGTCAGGCCTGTGGCAGCAGAGGCAGCCAGCCAGAATGAGCGGAATAGAGCAATCCAATTAAAGCGGGATGAAGGACGACCAGAACAGGACAGGAGGAGCCACTCCCGAGCAGCGGGCACAGAAGTGGGATTAACTTTCCAACGTGTCTTCAGGCACGGCACTGTTTAGCCATGCCCGCTGCCTTCCCAGCCAGAGGCACGGCCCGCTGCGGCGGCGGCGGCTGCGACCTGCACGGGGAGGGCGGGCCCGCTCCGCCCGCGGACGGGCCCGACCGGCAAAGACCGGCTCCGCCCGGCCCCCGCAGCCTGGATGCCCCCAGACTGCCCCCAGGGCCCGCCAGCAGCCGCTGCTGGGACACGACACCCCACCCCTTCCCAGCCTCCGCATTCCCGCTCCTTTCCCCGAAGGAAACTGCCTCGGGAGCGCCCCTGAAGCACGCGCGAGTTTTGGGGGGGGGAAGGGG